TATTTTTGCCTCTTGTAAACAAAAAGAGCATGTGTCTGTGTGGATCACCAGTACTTCCCAGGAAGACTGGAGTACCCAGTGCCTACACAGATGGTTTGCTTAACCACATCTCCGTCTGGTCCCATGGCTGCCGTTGTACAGAAAGCCCTTTCAGGGCAGGGCTCTGACTTCTAGACTAGCTAGGAACCAGGATGCAGACAGAATGGGGTGGCCACAAGGCAAGCTGCCTCTGGCTGTGAGTAGAATGGCCCAGTTATCAACCCTTCATTCTCATCCTTTGCTTGGGTCCACTGTCAACTGGATCTCCATTTGCTCTCATGTCCTCATATCATGCTTTCTTCTAGACAAAATGTAAGTATTCCACTTGCAAAGGTGAAGTAATCAACACCCAAAACAACTTTTTACTAATAGAGTCATTTGTGTTCACCCACTTTTCCCCAAGAGTGCTCTCAAAACTGCAAAGCAAATTCTGCCACTCCCTACTGGAACTCTCCACAATCAAGTCCAAACCATCAAGCCTGGAAAATCTTAGTCCCTGCTTGCCTTAGGGTGACTGGCATGTGATGGTCAATGACTTTTTTCTGAATGAATAATAGCAGAGAACAAGTGAACTATCTATTCTTTAAAATCATGTTGTTGTTGTTTTTTTTAAACCATTTTCTTTTGTAGGGAATGCTGAATACTTCTCTGATTGTGTATTGGTGTGTGGTTTTCCCAAGTTGAGTCTTGTTTTGCCATCTGGTTCATAAGTATGGAATTCTTTAGATGTGATTTTCTACCTCCTTAGAATCAGTGAGAAGTCCTAATTTGGCGTTTACTGCAATTTTTAAAAAATGTATTCTTCATCCTCACTGATGGTCTGGGGCAAAAAGGGGGCATTGGAGAAACCGAACAGGAACTCTCGGTGGCCTTGGGCAGGGCATCTCCCCCAGGCTGGCTGGGGTTCAGCGCCGGGCTTTTGTTCTCTGGCCTCGGGTCAGCTCTCAGCTCCGGGGCTGGCACATAGTCCTGTTTCATTTAAGTCTATAACAGCCTTAAGTACTCAGAGCTGCGGGTCCATCATTTGCCCCCAACAGTCCCTTACATAGGGTGATGATAGCTCAGAAAGCCAGGCTGTGTGTCTGGTCTGACTAAGTCTTGACACATCCAGGATGCTGGTAGCTAGCAAAGGATTACATTCTGGGAGGGGGAGGCTGCAGCTGAGAAACAAAAATTCTAGCCCTTCCGTTTTAAGCTTTTTGTTGTTGTTGTTTTGTTTTTAACTACATATCTATTTATTATAAATGAAAATTACCTTTTCTTGCTTTTGAGCTTTATGAAAATGGTATCATAATATATAGTCTTCTGCAACTTGTTTGCTTTAAATTCAGTATTATAGTGCAGAATGCATCTGTGTTGCTCACTCATTTTCACTGCTGTATACTCAGTATGCAGTGGTATGACTATATCACAAAACTCCATTTTCCTGTGAATGGATATCTGTGTTCTTGGAGTTCTGCTATTATGAATGATGCTGCCATAAACATGCTTGTATGTGTCTTCTGGTTCGTGTGAAGTTTGCTGGAATATACACTTAGAAATAAAATTGTTGAATTGTAGGGTATGCAAATGTTCAGCTTTATAGCATAAAGCCAACTTGTTTTTGAAAGTGTTGTGACAATTTATGCTCCCACTAACATTGCATGAGACCATCCTTTGTTCCTACTCTTTGCCAAATACTTAGCAATATCAGGTTTTTAAAGTTTTGACAATTTAATAGTTTAAAATAGTTTTTTTATTGTAGTCTGAATTCTTATTTTCCTAATTGCTAACAAGATGTCTTTGTCATATGTTGATTGGTCATTTAATATTCTTCTTCTGTGAAATGTATATTTATATAATTTGCCTTCTTCATTTATATTAGGCTGTCTGCCCATTTCTTGTTGACTTAATATTCTGGAATACTAATTTCTTTTTGGTTATATTTGTTGCAAATTCAGTTGGTCCTCTGTATCCCAGGGTACTGTATCCTCAAATTCAACCGACCATGGATTAAAAATATTTGGACGAAATAAAGGATGGTTGTGTCTGTATAGACTTATTTCCTGTCATTATTCCCTAAATAGCACAGTATAACAAGTACTTACACAGCACTTACATCATATTTAGGTAGTATAAGTAATCTAGAGATGATTTAAAGTACACGGGAGGATGTGCGTAGGTTATATGCAAATACTGTACCATTTTCCACCAGGGGCTTGAGCATCTGAGGATTTAAGTACATGCAGAGGTCTTGAAACCAATCCCTCATGGATAACAAGGGACAACTATATTTTCTGAACTGGTGACTTTTCTTTTCCTTTGTGGTATCTATTGACTACCAACTTGAGGTTAAAAGAGAGCCTTAACTTCTCAAGTTTCATGTTTCATATTAAAGTCTTTAATCTTTATGGAATTGATTCGTTTGTAATGGTATAAAGTAAGACCCAATTTCATTTTTCCTACTACAACCTATTGTCTCAGAATTACTTATTTCTGGTGATCTGAGATGCGACTTCTGGCTTATATCAAGTTTTCATGTATGTGAGATTATGTTTGGTGACTTACAGTAAAGTATTAAAATTGGTTCCATAAAGGTGGTGCACATTTTTTGGTTGGATTTACTCCTAGGTATCTTCTGTTTTTGATGTTATTACATAAGTAATATCTTCATTATTTCATTTTCTAGGTGCTCAATGCTGAGATAAAGAAATGTAATTAGTTTTTCTGCTTTGATCTTATATCCAATCACCATGATATAGGCTATTATTTTTAATAATGTACTTGTATATTTTGGGGGGTTCTTTATGTGGACAATCCTGTCATCTAGAAAAAACCAAAAAAATTTTTTCTTCCTTTCTAAACCTTGTAACATTTCCCTCTCTTGTCTTACTGACTGGCTGGGATCCACTGTACAATGCGGAACAGAAGACATACAGTAGGCAGCCTTATCTTATTATTGATTTTAAAAGAAGTGTTCCTATCCAACAATGATGTTTACTGCAGGGTTTTAGAAGACATCCTTCAAATTAAGAAAGTTCTATCCTTTTCTATTGTTATTTTTTGCTAAAAGTTTTTATCCCAAATAGGTGTTGAATATTGTCAAAGGATTTTCTTCTTTCAGACAAGGTTTTCCTCTGTAATGTTTTCCTATGATGGCTGTTAACCCTTAGATTGCCAAATTTAAAAATTAATGGAATTAAGTTATTATTACATTCTTTTATCTTTTTGAATCTTTGCTATATCTGTGATTGTGTCTGCCCTTTTCATTTCTTCTGTATTTCTGTCTTCTATCTTACTTTTAAAAATCAATTTAAGAGGGTTGACTTTAGTCTTTTCAACATTTGGCTTCCAGTAAGGCCACAGACTTTCTACAGAGTGGCCAATGAAGCTGGAAACAGAGGTGAATAAATAATAAATGGATTTATTTTTTATTTCAAAATATTAAGGATGTACAAATGTTTTTGTTGCATGGCTTGAGTCAGGGCTGTAAGTGTGCCCAATCACCCAAATAGTGTTCATTGTACCCATTAGGTGGAGTTTTGCCCCTCCTGTTCTCCCCTCTCCCCACTGCTTGATTTCCAATGACTTTTACTTCCTTCTGTGCACTTGTGTGCCCATTGGTTAGTTCTTATTTATTAGAGAGTATATGTAGTGTTTGTTTTTCCATTCTTCAGATACTTCACTTAGGAAAATGATCTCCAATTCCTTCCAAATTGCTGCAAGAGGCATTAATTCATCTTTTTTATGGCTGAGTAGTACTCTATGGTACACATATACCACATTTTGTTAATCCACTCATGAATTGATGGGCACTTGGGTTGATTCCAGATCTTTGCAATTGTAAATTGTGCTGTAATAAATAATTGAATGCAGATGTCTTTTTGATAAAATTACTTATTTTCCTTTGGATAGATACCCAGTAGTGAGATTCCTGGATTGAATGGTAGGTCTACTTTTAGTTCTTTGAGAAATCTCCACACAGTTTTTCATAGGCGTTGTACTAATTTGCAGTTCCACCAATAGTGTAAAAGGATTTCCTTCTCTCTGCATCCATGTCAGCATCTATTGTTTTTGTACTTTTAAATAAAAGCCACTCTAACAGGAATAAGGTGATATCTCATTGTGGTTTTAATTTGCATTTCCCTGATGATTAGTGATGTTGAGCATTTTTTCATATGTTTCTTGGCCATTTGTCTCCTTTTGAAAAATCTTTTGTTCATGTCTTTTGTCCACTTTTTAATGCGGTTGTTTTTTTTTCTTACTGATTTGTTTAAACTCTTTGTAGATTCTGGATATTAGCCTTTTATTTTATGTATGGATTACAAATATTTGTCCCATTCTAAAGGTTGTCTATTTGCTCTGTTGATTATTTTCTTAGCTGTGCAATAAATGGATTATTGATATTTGTTAAGAGAGGAAATCTTCTATAGACTATGAGCATCCTTACACATCTTTGCCAAGTGTTCCAAACTGTAAGGACTCTGAGCCATTCCTGGAACTAGTCAGTTAGGTAACTTGAGAAGTATACTGGCCAGGAAACCACAGTGTGACGACTGTACAACTACTTGTTTCCTGGGAAAGAGGGACTGGCTCAATCACTGCTTGCTATAAAAGCTGCTGACTCCTTTGCCTTGGGCTCGTTAGCTGTGGGACAACCCACTGCAGGCACAGGTGCCATCTGGGTCTATCACATCACGTCATGGAACTTGGGGACAGGCAACTATGTTACTGTGCTGATGCTTTGGCTCTTTGCTGTGCTGTGAGTACTAAGCTCCCTTGCTCTGATGTACTGAATTTTATTATTTATTTCAGCACCTATAGAGTTGTAGCCAAACTAACCCATATTCATTGCTTGCTTAATCATCAACGTTGGAGTCTTGTTATGCCCTGCCAATTTCTATAAGGTTGGGGTTCTTTTCTGACAATATCTCATTATATAATGTGATAAAATAATATTACCTGTGTTTGTATGTTTACAGCTACCTACATCCAGGCAGCCCCCTCTAGGATCACAGGAAGATCTCAACCCTTCCCCTGCTCTGCTGACCTCTGGACACACGGTAACCAGCCACGTGTAATGACAGATGAGAGCGTGCAACCTTGAACTCACTGCCTTTCAGTACATGTAGGGAACAAATATTAGTTATAAAAGGTTACCTAAAGGATAGCCATTCCCTAAAATCCATTCCCAAATAATGGCTGTAATGTAAACATGCCTCAGACCCACGGTATGCTCTCATTGTTAAACTGCTTTTATTGAATTGTTGTTTTTTTGTGTGTGTGGAGGAGACCAAAATAAGTCTATGTTGAGATCCTTATATGGGCCAACCATGTGAAATTCAAGTATTATACGTATTTATAGAAACCAGCTTAAATCTCTTCTAGAGAGTATAACTATAAATCAATGTGAATAAACCAACAAACAAATACAACTTGAGAAGTCATCGACCATCCAGTGGTGTTTTATAATGATAGGAATATAAAAGAAAAGACAAGGAATTAGTATTTTTAAACATCTACTATACACCAGGCCCTTTTTTAGGTGCTTTACTAACATTATTTCATTTAATTCCTTCTTCATATCATCCCTATGAGGTTGGCATTATTAGTCCCATTTTACAGATGAGAAAATTGGGCAGAGAGGTCAATAATTGTCTAAAATGGCTACCTTGGGATTCAAACTCAGGAGTGTCTGGCTCTAATACCTGTTCTCTGCCCAGGATACCTCACTGTTATGTTACCCATGAAATTATTGTTTCTTGGTTTCTCAGAAGCAGTCTAGATGAAAACCACAGAGTATAAGCCAAACTACTTCCCTCGTCCAGGTGAGGTTTACTTGGCATTTCTTGTCATAATATGTGCTCCTGCTGCCACCTGCTGGCAACCTCATACATCCTGCTTTTTCTTGTTAAATCCCTCAATCTTTGTAAAGGACAAACCCATCTGGCCCCCCAAAAGGCAAGAAGCTCCATGAGGACAACCAGCTGGAAAATCTTCCCAAAGTTGGTGAAGTATAAGGGAGTAATAATTCTTATCTACATCCCCGGGGGATAAACCCTTTACCTTTCAAGGCTGTTCTCCACTTTCATTAGATTTTATCTGTCTCCAGGTACTGAAGGAAAGCACAGGTCTTGTTATCCAGACCATGCAAATTTGGGTGGTGGCCTCTTGCTAAATCAGTGTATTCCGTGGCCCTAGTATGTAACACCGATCACCACATTGATAACTAACCAACCAGCAGGTAACAAACAGTGCCTGGACCACAAAGAGCCTAAGTGGCCGGCAGAGTGGCTTGGCTCCTCCTGGAAAGTGGTGGTGCCATGGGGACCCGGGCTCCTGCGTTCCCTGTCCTTCACCTGGGCAGCTAGGACCACGAGGGACTCCGTGCCCTTCGTCAAAGACATCACACATTCACACGCCCTGCAAAACATATTGATCTCGCATCTGGGTGGATGGTTAGATTTTTGTTTTTCTTTGTTACCCTTTCCTTGACAAAATGGGGAACCCGGGGGTGGGAGAGCTTATTTCTGACTGCTGGGGAAGAAGAAAGCAGTAATTGTTGTCACGGCAATGAGGAGCTCATCAAAGCCTCATTTTGCTCATCAGCCATCACTGCCCCCCTCTCTGTCCTGCACCCCCGCATGTTCCTCTAATTCAATGCCCGCCTAATGAATAACTCTTAGAACAAAAGACCCTTTCAGGCTGCCTACATAATTATTAGAGGAGCCTTGCATAACTGTCGCAGACTACTCATGTTTGCAGGCCTGTCTCTAAATTTGGTTATTCACAACCTTTATAGCTCAATATTATTGTCTAACTGTGATCATTTTCTAATTATCCTAATAATACCTATTAAATAATTCCCATTAAGTCACTTGAACCGGAGCAGCACAGGCCAGCTCAAATACAGCTTAACCTAATAAGCATTGGTCATTCATTAAGCAACAGGGCAATCTCTTAAAGGGACTGAATAGAATATTAAACCACAAAGGAATATTATTATTGCACAAATGTTATTACAAGTTGGAGTGTATTAATTCTGATGCCTGGTTTGCAAATCTTCCACATGATTTCCTTTGAGGCTAGTCTCCCTGATGTGACTCTTGCGATCTCCAGCCCCTTGTTGAGCTGCATCTGTCACCCACACAAGGACAATCAAGGTAGAGAGGCCCATGGACTTACCAGGGGAATTAAATTACCAATGATATAAAGGGAATGAGTAGAATCCATCTTCTGGCTGGTTTGGCACACCTTTGAGAACACCACAAGGTGGCCAGGTTTCTTTAGCTAGAACTCAAAACAGCCCTTTCTTTTCTTTTCTTTCTTTTATGTTTTGATATTTGGAGGATGAAGGAGATTTTCAAAAGATACTTAAAATTTTTGGTTTCTATAATTTAAATTTCAAGCAGTAAAGATTAGAGAGACATTTCTTTAAAAGTGTATGTGTGTAGATCATAATATTTTATAAAATAATATTAGGTAGTGTTTACTGAAAAGGGTACAATGTAGTAGATGCTCTGGTAGACACTTTGCCCACCCACGCCTCTAACTCTCAAAAATGACCGGGTAATATGGGCATTATTATCTCCATTTTTCAGATAAGGAATCTAGGTCCAGAGAGGTTAAGTGATTTCCCCAGCACTATATAGCAATGGAATGGAACAGAACTTGAACACAAGGCTTTTTGATTCCCATCATGTTGGCAATGTGTTGCTTATGGCAAACTCACATGCCCTAGCATTGCTGGTTTTTCCTTTTCATTTCTAGAGCTCTCACTGCAATCGGCAGATTCCTAAAGACAAGTACCAGAGCCTTCTTCTTTTTTTTTTTTTTTTTTTTTTTTTGAGACAGAGTCTCACTGTGTTGCCCAGGCCTAGAGTGGACAAAATGAACCCACCGACCCAACACGGAAAACCACCGACAACCCACAAGTCTTCCCAGAACCTCAATCTCCTGGGCTCAAGCAATCCTCCTGCCTCAGCCTCCCGAGAAGCTGGGAGTACAGGCATGTGCCACCATGCCCGGCTAATTTTTTCTATATATATTAGTTGGCCAATTAATTTCTTTCTATGTATAGTAGAGACGGGGTCTGGCTCTTGCTTAGGCTGGTTTTGAACTCCTGACCTCAAGCGATCTGCCCGCCTCGGCCTCCCAGAGTGCTAGGATTACAGGCGTGAGCCACCGTGCCCGGCCTCCAGAGCCTTCTTGATTAGGAATATGACCAATCACCAAGCAAGGGCAGTTCATTCTATTGAAAGTCCCAACAGTGGCTGCAGAGACAGACAGTGACTTTCATTCCAAGTAGCAAGAAGGTCATCATTTTTATAATAAAGCCAACTTCTGATGAGTGAATCTGGGTTATCTTTTCAAGAAAATCCACAGTATAGTTTAGTAAAACAAAAAAAAAAAGAGCAAATATTGATTAATCATCTACTCCATGCCAGGCATTAGGCCAGGGGTTTTACGTCAATTGTTTTACCTAATCTTCACCACAAACACAAGAAATAGTGCGATCATCACTCCCCATTTATAAACAAGGAAACTGAGGCACAAAGGGTATAAAGTCTGACTTCAACATTTCCCTGGTATCTAGTGATAAATTAGCCATGCAGCAAATGAAGCTGAAACTGCAGGGCCCCTGCGTGGATGTGCCTGCCCTTGCCAGGCTCTGCGTGCAGCCCTCGCACTTTTGCAGGCAGGACCTTGCATGAGCTCCCGGCCTCAGACAATCGGGTCTTGCACCTGCCAGTTTCGTCACTCTCAAATGAATGAACTTTTTTTTTTTTTTTTGAGACAGAGTCTCGCTTTGTTGCCCAGGCTAGAGTGAGTGCCATGGCATCAGCCTAGCTCACAGCAACCTCAAACTCCTGGCTCAAGTGATCCTCCTGCCTCAGCCTCCCAAGTAGCTGGGACTACAGGCATGCGCCACCATGCCCGGCTAATTTTTTCTATATATATTAGTCAGCCAATTAATTTCTTTCTATTTATAGTAGAGACGGGGTCTCACTCTTGCTCAGGCTGGTTTTGAACACCTGACCTCGAGTAATCCGCCCGCCTAGGCCTCCCAGAGTGCTAGGATACAGGCGTGAGCCACCACACCCTGCAAAATGAATGAACTTTTAAAAGAATTGATCTCCTACCGTTTCATTTCCTAAATAACTAGTAACCTGTTGTTTACATTATTGCCACACAGAGTGTTTTCAGTGCTTGGCTTTTCACATTTTATCTCTGAAATACAGAAGGCCGAAGATTTCTCATCATAAAACTAGAGACAATACCTCCAACAAACTCTAAAGGCTCCTCCAATTCATTAGCTACACTGCTCCTGGAGAGTTTTTCCAAAAAATGTAGATATCTTTGAGCCATTTCTTACCTGATAACCCTTCGCTGGCTCCTCCTTTGTTAAGATATTTTGTGTCTGTTCACATTTGGCCTTTGTAGGTGCTGTGCCCTTTGCCAGAACAATCTCCTCACCTCACTGGTTAACTCCTGTCCCTCTTCTGGTTCTCAGCTTATATGTCATCCGTCCAGAAAGCCTAGCCTGATGGCTCCCCTCCCTCTAGGATCAGTCCGGACCCTCTTGGTTCTGTTCATGTTGTACCCTAGTGTTTGCTCCTGTCACAGCACTTGTCACGCTCTATTGTGGGTTATCTATTTACATATCTGTATCTCTCAATGGACTATAAACTTCTCAAGGCAGAAACTGCATCATACTCATTGTTATAGACCCAAGGTCTTAATATCCAGCACATAGTAGGTCTTCACCAGATGAATTCTGTTTGAATCTAAGAATCTGAAGCCATCAGTGGAATAGTTACCATTTATTGCTTTACCTTGGGCCAGATAATGTGCTAATTTAAGCATCATTTTAAATTTCTTCCTTAATCCTTATATAAGCTCTATAAGGGAGAAAACCACTGTTATCACCATAATAGATGAGAAAATGAAAGTTTATAAAGATTTTTAATGTGATTGGCCCAAGGTCATACAGGTAGTAAAGAAAAAACAAGGACTTTGACTTTAACTCTGGGCTTTGAATCATACCAACATTGCTTGAACACCCAAATAGTTCTGAGTTTATCTTAACCCCTGGATTGCAAAGAACATTCACACTCGCCAGAAGAGAGGCCAGGAAGAACAGAAACCTGGTTACAAGGTCCACAGGCTGACTGATGCCCTTAGAAATTTCAGATAGGAGCACCAGTTTGATGTTTAAAGCCTGCGGCAGTTGTGCATTGAGCACCACACGTCTGGGTTGACAGATACAAAGCGGGTGACAAGGTCCCACTATTGTGCCCAGATGGTCAGCCCAGCCCTACCCTCAGACCACACCCACACGCATCTCTGCTGGGATGCCATACCTGCTTCTCCTCGCAGGGCCTTCTCCAGCCTCACGCCCTGGATCTCAGATGCCCTCTGCCGCTCTTCCACCTCTTCCAGCTGCCTCTGGATGGCCTGCAACGCCAGGATCACGCGTCACACAGGGACTCCACAGGCGGGAGCCCATCCTGCCACTCACTCTCCAGGAGAGAGAGGCCCTTTCTCTCGGGATGGTCCTGCCTTGACTAACTGCGCAAGGACCCCTGAACTCCCAAACAACTAGACCTGATGTTTCCCTTCTTTAGGACAAAACATAAAGCAAGGAATTTGTATGTTCAATTTGCCCCCAAGTAGATATTAAAATAGTCCCCTTTGACAAGGCCAATCACAGGGATGTCCTCCAAGACAGAGGCTGCTGGGCTAGGTGAATGGTCCTCATGGCTCCTGGATTCCTCTTCAGAGCCCACAGCCTCTGATTGTGGTCACGGAATAATGACCAGAGCAGCAGCCATGACCCAAAGGATGCTCATATTCCATTTCCCTAAGAACCACCAGCCTATAATTCTTAAGAAGTTGATCTGGAGCAGGAGACCTGGGCCAACTCTTGGGGCTTGCTATTCTTTTTTAAGATTGTCCTACTCCTATCCTTAGCTACAAATTGTACCTATTCTTTCATTGCACCACAAGTTCTTTCATTGTAGCAATGGACTATGGCTTTGTTACTAGTAGGTTATTAAGACAAGACACAAGATGTTTAACCCATTAGGGGACAACCTCATACTCTCTTTAGACTCACCACAGGTACCTATTAAGGTTTGGAGTCATGATTGGGTTTGCAACTACATATTTATTTTCTTTACTAGCTATTAATATTATTCTCTTGTACATATTAGGAAGAAAAGTCCAGGGAAAGCCTTTCCTATATACGTTTTGTTCATTCCAATCGATTTTCTCTGCTTTCAAACAACATGCTGCTAAAAGGCATATCCCTTTGCAGAGCAGAATTTGCACCTAGTAGAACAGGTATATTAAAGGAACTGTCACCTGTTTGGGCAGGCAGAGTGCCTATGTTCCCCCTCTGCCTTATTTCAGCTCTGTCTCATTCCCCTTCCTTGCTAACCCCACATCTTTCTAAACCTGCCCTGGACTCACGGGCACAGTTGCCGAGGTCCCTCCAACCCTGTGAAGAGAGCCAGGCAGGGGACGGGCCTGAGCAGCCACCTGCCTCTTCTTGTTCCACCTATGAGAGTTTAAGCCCTAAACATACCATCTATAGTAGATGGGAATTCTCTTTAAAATGACTTGTAATTTTATACCCTTTTCCTCTCATCTCTCTTTTCAAGACAATTGTGGCTTTACAAATCCATCTCTCTCGCTGGTATGGTGTAGGACTGCTAAAGTGAAATGCTTATATAACTTTATTACTGACTACTGTGCAATGACAGTACATGGTTGTTATAGACTGAATTGTGTTCCCCACCCTCAAAACCCTCCCTAAATTCATACGTTGAAACCCTAACCTAAAATGTGGCTGCATTTGGAGACTGGGCCTTTAAGGGGGCAATTATGGTTAAATGAGGTCATAAAGGTGGGGTTCTAATCTCATAGGATGGTGTCCTTATAAGAAAGGAAAGAGATACCAGAGATATTTCTCTCCATGTAGTCACACACAAAAGGCCACGTGAGGACACGGCCAGAAGGCAGCTGTCTACGAGCCAGGAAGAGAGGTCTCATCAGACACCAAACCTGATGGCACCTCAATCCTGAACTTCTAGCCTCCAGAACGTGAGGAAGATACATTTCTGTTGTTTAAGCCAACCATCCATGGTGTTTTGTAATAGAAGCCAAGGCAGAATAGTGCAGTGGTCATTCTTTAGAAAGGAAGGGTGAAAGTCTCAAAGACTAAAAAGGGCCAGTATGGGTGCCAGTAGGTGAGGACACAAAAGGCCACTGTAATTCTTCTCGTCACTACCTACTGTCTGGAGTGAAAATATAAGGAAGAGAAATTGATGAGTTTGCCAATAAATGTCATAAGACTTTTCTTGTTCTTAGATGGAAAAGTTGAAATGCTTCAGGGCAATCTATTTGAGAAGTTGTGGGTGGACAGAGGGGAGCCATGGGAGTTTCCCTGTCCACTAGGTGAAAGGGGTGGCTCCTGAGCCCCTCCCGGCAAGTGCAAAGGAGGTTGGGTTAAATGACCTTCCTCTTGTCACAAATAACCTTGAGGACTACACAGCCAGATGAAGGAATAACTAGGAAAAGGGATGTAAGGAGACATTGGATTAACATGCTCATTCTTAGTCCTTAGGTCCTAAAGCCCAACTGTTCTTCAAGGCCAGGGTCAGGGTTCTCAGGAGAATACCTTGACTTTTTGCTCCATTTTGCCTGTCTGTGACAGAGGAGGACAGATGAGCTTGGGCAGAAATGTTTGAAGGAAGCAATCAGGCAAGGAAATCTACATTGGAATGCTGGATACTTACGATTTCAAGTAACCTTGCTATGGAGATAGCCCTTAACAGCTGCAGTTCAGCAGACACTATCAAGGAGTCGGTGGAAGGTTTATGTCCTCACAGAGGACAGAAGTAAGGTCACTGCTCTGTGGCAGTGAGGGTGGATGCACTGGCCCCTGTCCCAGCCTCACTTTGCAGAGCACGTGTCTGCAGATGGACAGGCGGCTACAAGTGGGTCAGCTCAGCGCCAAGGGGTTTGAGCCAGGATCCTTAAAGCAGCTGCAAACCCAGTCCCTCAGAGAAGAGCGCCTGGCCCTCCTCCAGCTTGCTGCCCCCATCCCCACACAGACTCTCAGAGCTCTTTCCGGCTGGGACCCCAGACCCAGGCCCCCTCACTCAGCCTGTTTTCTGACCTGAGCCTTATGGAGCCTTTTCAATTCTTCTTGCTTAACCAATTGCTTCGTTGCTTTTTCCAGCTTCCGTCGTCTTCTAAGTGTCTTCTTTTCCTACGCAAACCAGTGGAGAAGAAAACATATGTCTGAGAAAAATGGGGTTGGAATTTGTAAAATATCATCATAGCTTTCTGTCCTCTCCAACCTATGGTTCCCAACCACTACTCTGCTTCTAGAATAATGACATCGAGTAGAACTTTCTGCAATGATGGGAACCATCTCTGTCTTTGCTGTTTAAATATGGAAAGCACCAGCCACACGTGGCTACTGGACACTTATGATGAAGGAACTGATTTTTAAATTTTATTGAATTTTAATGAATTTAAATGTAAAGTTAAGTAGCCACAGGTTGCTGGTAGGTGCCAGAATGGGAAGCTGGTGTGTGTGTGCGCGTGTGTGTAAGCTTATATAGGAGTCGCTTTACAGAGTTCTGACTAGGTTCGGTTGAGAGAGGGAATGGCACAAGAATTATACTTTGCGTGGGTGCTACCATACCGCCCAGGGATGAGGGGCCTGGGAGAGACAGGAGGACAGACAGACATACACACTATCCCTGCATGAAAACCAGTTAACAATTTAAATAGTACTGAGGTTGAGTCTGCAGTGCCCAGTTAAACCTGGTACTAGAGGGATGGATCTAAATAATTCAAACTTAAGTGCTTCTTGGCTTGAGGGAGGCCTGAGATCGCTTCCCTTCCCTCCTTCACTTTGCTTATACAGATTCAGCATTATTGTCTCTGGGTTTGGCGTGTTCCTGGACTTGTTTAAAAGAAAACAAACATTCAACATTTATGAATGCAAAATAGAGGTCTGGATTTTAATGGTGCTACTTCTTGGCTTTAAGCACCAGAGAAAGGAGAAGTGATGGTGTGGCCAGGTCTACCCTCTGGAAAGTTCAGGAGACACTTCTGCTCGGAGAAACATCAGAGAGTAATGTGTGAGCACTGGGCCCAGGAGCCGGGCAAAGCTGGCATCGAGTCGCAGCTGGGCCGTGTGGACTTCAGCATGTCAACACGACTTGCTGAACTTCAGTGTCCTCTTCGGAGCAATGAGGATTTAATGCCTACCTTGTAGGGTACAATAAGGATTAAATGAGATGACACAGGCTAAGCCCTTTGCAATACTTGAAAGAGATATGGGACAAATACTCAGTACATAGCATGGTTTTTATTATTACTAGTATGTCTATTTTATCATATTATACATTAGTATGATTGTGACTTTTTACTAAAATCTATTTTTCATCTGTTTGTGAATAGGTATATACACACACATCCTGTATATACAAAATAGATGTTCAAATTGGGCTAGTTTTACTAGCCCAGTTTGCCTTCTCTGAGCATACACATTAGCCTTCTACATATTAGGGTGAGGATTAGAGCATGCTAGAGATTTCTTTTTAATGCTGGCAGAAACAAATATGGAATTTAAAAATTATTGTAGATGGCCTGGTGCCTGGGCATTGACTAACTATAGTTGAACCGAATGTTTGCTCATTAAGTGCTAATAAAGCCGTGAGTGGGGAATAGAGACCTAACAGGCCTGACCCTTGATATTGCCAGAGAAATCTGGGTCCAAAACAAAGGTCAGAGATTGTACCTTGAAAGCATGTGTGTTTCAGGGCTTGTGCGTTCCTGTCATTTTGTCACTCATCCCACGGACATGGATGGAGAAACCACTATTCTCCTTAAGAAAACATTTAGCTTTGAGGCTTTAGAACCTCTACAGATCATTAGTGAAAACATTAATATCAGTGATAAAACTTTGTTTTCTAGAATTCTCCTACAATCTAGAATCCTGAAGATCTTCTTCATCCTTGGAAGGAAATTGTGGCTGTCAGAACTCAGCTTATTCCACATCCTGTAATCTCTGTTTCTAGGGGATGACCTCCATATTGACTGTCAACCACTCTGAATGGATATTCCAGGCCTTTTGCAAGGGGGACCCCTCCACCAAGCAGCTAGGACTTTCTGGGAAAGGCTGGAGTCATGGGGAGGTGGTGAGTGTCAATGGTAGCTATTATCCAGAGATTGTCTAGCTCAATCTATATGGAGAGTCAGTTCATTCATTTAACAAGTATCTCAAGCTTCTATCATACCAACCTACATAATACATCCTAGTGTTTATTGAGTGCTATGTGCCACACGCTGTATTAATTACTGCACAAGTATCATCTCATTTATTCCTCAAATTGTACTTATTTTAGAGATAAGAAAATCAAAACTCAGAGAGGTGAGTAACTTGCCCAAGATGATGCAAATAGTAATGGGTCGAGCCGGGAGTGAAGTGCAGGTAGCTGACTCTAGTACCCACATTTTGTCTAGTCTATACTGTGTCTCCTTATACCAAATACTGTTTGGGCATGAGGACTCTCTATAGTGGATCCTATAGACATGTCAAGTGTTTCCTCCTAAACAAAGCGCATTTAATACAATTTCAAGAGGGTGCCTCAATAGCATCACATTGTCTTAATGCTTCTCAACAATAAAGCTGTCAGATCCTTACTACTTGATCAGAGTCAGCAAAACAGGTCGGGCACGGTGGCTCACGCCTGTAATCCTACACTATGGGAGGCCGAGGCCGGTGGATCACTCAAGGTCAGGAGTTGAAACCAACCTGAGCAGACGAGATCCCATCCTCTACTAAAATAGAAAGAATAATTGGCCAACTAAAAATATAGAAAAAGTTAAGCCGGCATGGTGGTGCACACCTGTAGTCCCAGTTACTGGGGAGGCTGAGGCAGGAGGATTGCTTGAGCCCAGGAGTTTGAGGTTGCTATGAGCTAGGCTGATGCCATGGGCACTCTAGCTGGGGCAACAAGAGTGAGACACTGACTCAAAAAAAAAAAAAGTCAGCAAAACAGGACCCAGGGGAGGAAAGAAAGTCATTTATTGCTTTTTATGAAAAAGATGGCATGGAAAGGACAAGTGCTTTACCAAGCACTCACATTGCCTTACGACCTGCCAGACACAGCTCTTATATTCTCAGTGACAGTAAAGGGGCTAGGGGCTGAGGAAGAAAAGACACAGGAAGGACGAGGGAGAAACCTGGCAGAGTTAAGGACAAGCTGCCCTGTCTCTTCCTGGCCTGGTCTTTAGATCCAGGCCACAGGGTGGGGGAGAGGTGGTAGTGGGGAGGGGTGAGGCGCGAGGAGGAGGCAGAAAAGACATGGCCTGTCTCCAGCTTCCTGTGCAAAGGTTCATTTGAGCTGTCAGGGGCCCTTTGCTACCTGGCTGGGGGCAAACAGACCTGCATGGGACAAAAGAGACAAAGAAACCAGAGGACAACCCCCCCCCCTCGTTCCTTCAGTGTGAGTCCTCGAGAAGTCGTAAAGAAGAAAGCCCCTTGCCAGCTTCCCTTCCTGTAATTGCAGGCCGTGTCGGAAGCCAGGTGAAACGGGCATGCCTTGCCACCTGGCAAGCCTCGTGGGGATGGGCTCTGTTCTGGGCCAGCAGGGGGACAAGGAGCTGTTTGTTAGGGTGGCCCTAGACACCTCGGTCTCGCTATTTCGATGTGTTTGGGCCACTCTATTCATTTATTCTCCATGAGTGTTGAGATGGCTCATGCTGAGATCTCAGTCTCATTTGAATACAGAATTAACTCAGGGTCACTCAAAGGGGTGAGAGGGGGTAGTAAGAAAACCCCAGAAATCAATGCAATACACAGAATTCATTTGTGTTGAGTACTGAACTAAGCAGAGATGCCCACAACTAGAAATGAGAAATCCATACATGTTCTCTCTCCTCCTTAACCCCTCTCTCTCTCTCTCTGTCCTCCCTTCCTCCCCCTCCCCCCTCACATCCCAGACCCCTCCTGCCTTGCTGTACGCTGGGCCATGGGGAGTTAGAACCCCTGAGTGACTTGAGATGACGCCAAAGCTACTAACGCCAGATATGGAAAAGTTGAGTCTAAGTAAATAAATTTGGTTCTCCCCTTCCCTCCCCAGATCCTCACTGCTCCAAAAAATAAACACTACCAGAGCAGTGAACCACATCTCTGTCCACCCGGGAAGCATTTTAGGTCCAACCATTCAGTCCCTCCCGCTCTCCTCTGTCCAAGTGAAAAAGCTCCAGCCCTAGCGGGTGAAGAAAACCACAGTGGGCTTTGGTTGTGAGATGCCTATCTCTGTGAACGTGAGGTACGGACAATTACAGACATATAACAATGCCTGTGTTTTCCATCCATGGGGAGACAGTTGTTTAAAAGAGTTCTCCAGAAACATAAATGTTCACTAAGCAAAGGGGACGGCTGTCTCCCAGCTGGCACACGGCTTGTCCCTTCCACAGTAGGGATCCTTGGAGTATCCATGTCTAGATGCAACTGCATGGTTCGTTTCATATTTCTGATTAGAACAAACATAACATTTTCCATGCAATCTGCCTCTAGTGCTTCTTAAATGAAGCTGTGCTTCCCCCAGGGAAATATGCATCTGCTTGTTGTAATATTTTCGATGGTTTGCTTGTTGGACTACATATTAAACCCACTTTAAGAGCTGCAGTCACCAAATGGTTTGAGTAAATATGCCTCTTTTTTTCCCTCCCCAATTTGGGTCTCTGAGAAAGGCAAGCTTCTAAAAGTTTTTTCTTTTATTAAAGAGATAATTCTTGGTCTGTTCCAGGTAAAAAGAGCACTCTGTCAGATGCAATGAAACGTGATCCTCCTAACGAAACCACTGCAGCTGGAGCCCACATTGGGTCTGAATTCTGGATGGTAAACAGCCCCCACCAGCCAAGGTCCTCTTTGGTTGGCCAAGTGTTGTTACCTTTGACTGCAAGGAAAGCTGGGGATCGAATTCTTCATCTGCAGAGGAGGAGCTTGTAGAAGAGGCAGAAGAGGTGGTCTCTGTTACCTGTGCTCTGACAGGGGTGTGCTTGGAGCCTGAAATGGGAACAGAAAAACTCACTGACCTGCTAGCTTCATTTCCTGCTTCATGAACCAAAGCTGTCCCTCCCCTCCCCACTTACCCTCTCCCCTTCCTCCCTGCTCTCTCCTCCCTGCACCTGCCGTGAGTACAAGAAGGCGGTACCTAAGGGCAACTGAAAATTTGGCCCTCCACGTTAATTACATTTCTGGGTCCCTGCCAAGAGCTTTACAGCTTTCTTTTCACATAAAACAAAACAAAACAAAAAAAAAGAAAACCAAGGTATTATGCAGAAATCAATTAATTCCTTAAACACCATTTATATGGTGTGTTGCTCTGAATGCATTCAGAAAGGAAATCTATTATTAAAATGCACGTCCGAAGTTAGCTGAGTTACCTAAATGCTTGTGTAAGGTTCGTTCTGCAGAGTAATTGAATGCAAAAAAAGTTGGAGCCAGCTCTTAAACAAATCGCCCTTCTGCGGCTCACAGCATCTGGCACCCATTTTTACTACATGACATCTGCTCAGTGTAAAAGAGCTGGCGTCAGAATGTCTGGTCACAGGAAAAAAAATATCCCAAATGTAATCAGAAGCAAAAGGACTCTAAGCCTAAGGTTTTATCACATAGTCTCATGCAGCATAAATATTTCATTAATTATGGCTAAACAAATGCCATTTTTATTTTCCCAACTTGAAGATATTATCACATCATCGAAGTAATGATTCAAATGCCAGGAAAGGCAGTTTAAGATAGAGATGGCTCAACAATGCAGGGTCCACGGGAGAGCCGAAGTCAGGGAGATATGCCAACCTCTGAACAGAGGTAGACGGCTAGAGGCAGCAAAACATCCATGTTAATTGGCTGAGTATCACATATGATAAGATCTTCCAGGTGCCACAGGAGGCTTTTAGTCTTTGCAGCAAGAACATCTGTCCCTACATATCAACCTGAAGCAGAATTCATGCTTAACATCTGGATTAGTGCTCTCTTGACACCAAATCTCAGAACAAGCTAGGACTCCATGATAGGAAATTTACTAATGTTAGTCTGCCATGGCAGCTTATATCTAAATAGAGATGTGTGTTGGGTGGGGGGAAAGGAGGAGAAGAAATCCCAAGTCAGCTAATATTCTCTCCAGCCTGCCTTCTCCTCCCCATAATTTTCAACTATTCACCCCAGAGGGAGAGGCCAAGTTCTACAAAATAAGGTACTGTTAGCCCCTGGGAGTACATTTGCATATGCTGTTATTCAAAGAAAAATAATGCAAAACATCTATATAATAACACAGCCTTTCTGGGCAGGGAGTTCACTGTTTTCCACTTTAGTTTGCCAGATGGGAAAGCTCAGGTAAAGATAGAATCAGAGAGCAGAAGAATAACAGGAGGAGGTGTTGTTAAGGGGGAGCTGAGATTATTTCCCAGTTCCAGCCACCAGTTTACCACTGAGTAATTTAGTCACTGAGTGTTTACTTCTTAGTGTGTGAACCTCAGGAACTAACTTTACCTCCCTGAGTTTCTCAGGATCATGATTCCTAACTTGCAGAATTGTTGTGGAAAAGTACAGATGATTAATATAAAGTCTCTAACACAGTGCCTGGTACATAAGAGGTGCCTAAGCAAATGTCAGCAGCAGCAGCAGCAGCAGCAGCAGCAGCAGCAGCAGCAGCAGCAGCAGCAGAAGATACTCCATCATCATCATTGATCCCAACTAATAATACTGAAATATTTGTAAAACTGCCTAATTAACCTATATTTATGGGAGAAGTATAAACCTAAAGTTGAAACTTTTTCTAACTTTCAAAAAATAAATATTTCCATTGCATTTCACTTTCAAATTGAGAAGAAAATGCTTCTAAGTATAATGTATTTCTTAAATTTCTGGCAAGAAAGAAGTTAAATAGTTGCCCCTAAGTCCCTTCCTTAATACTGTCTCCAACAAAGAACCAACCATTCTAGGAGTTTACTATGTATTTGTAAAGTTTTAGAAACTTTGCAGCATTGTCCTACTCTGGCTATGTTAGAATGACTGAGTCTGGAATTCATCAACCACCACAAAGCACTAGAAATCAGGAAACAGGCTGGGCTCAGTGGCTCACGCCCGTAACCCTCGCAGTCTGGGAAGCCGAGGCAGGAGGATCGCTCAAGGTCAGGAGTTCAAACAAGCTCGAGCAAGAGCAAGACCCATCTCTACTAAAAATAGAAAGAAATTAATTGGCCAACTAAAAATATATAGAAAAAAATTAGCCAGGAATGGTGGCGTGTGCCTGTAGTTCCAGCTACTCAGGAGGCTGAGGCAGGAGGATTGCTTGAGCCCAGGAGTTTGAGGTTGCTGTGGGCTAGGCTGACACCATGGCACTCATTCTAGCCCAGGCAACAGAGTGAGACTCTGTCAAAAAGAAAGAAAGAAAGAAAGAAAGAAAGAAGAAAGAAGAAGAAAGAAAGAAGAAGAAGAAAGAAAGAAAAGAAAGAAAGAAAGAAGAAGAAAGAAAGAAAAGAAAGAAAGAAAAAGAGAAAGAAAGAAGAAAGAAAGAAGAGAAGAGAAGAAAGAAAGAGAAGAAAGAAAAAAGAAAGAAAGAAAGAAAGAAAGAAAGAATGAAGAATTCAGGGCACAATATATAAAGCACTTCTTTCCAGACAGTACAGAACTGTGATAAAGGCAAGAACAAAAGCAAACAAGGAAAGCCCTCCAATCCCAATAGTTTTCTGCCTAGAGGCCCTTTCCAGACCACAATGCAGGCAAGAATAACCTAAACAAAACATAACAGATTCATTGAATTGAAAAGACAGATCAAAATTTGGGCAAGCTGAGCCAGCTGAAATGTGTGGGCCAGAGTACTAGAGATGAGGGAACTGTGTAAAGAAGAACTTCAGAAGTAAACATAGAAGTCCCCTTGAGTCTATTGCTTAATAGTAAACTATAGATGCACAGAGAGAAACTCCATGAGGTTGGACAAATAACTTCTGGGAAATTGTAGGTGAAATAGTCTCTAAAGCTTTCACAGGACTGGGAGATGTTCAAGCTTTCTTAGCCAGGGTAGAAGAAATATTTGAGGCATTAGTACAGACAACAAAAGAGTCAAAAAGAATAAACTATCCCTACAGTAAAGGTTATTGTAGATTCACATGAACAAAGCTTAAAAAACAAGCCTTGATGGAAACAAAGTAATGTGAAGTTATTAATACTTTACTGCCTGCCAAATATTCTTTACTGCATATTTAAGATTCTTTAAATAAAGAAACAAATATAGACACTCTAGAGTGTAATATTAACAAAGTTTAGCAATTGATAAAAAATTATTAGATATATAAGAAAGTGGGACAATTATCATAATCAAGAGAAAAATCAGTCAATAAAAGCAGACCCAGAAATGACATATGATAGAATGACCAGATAAAGATTTTTAAATAGCTATTATGAATGTGCTAAAGAATTTAAAAAGAAGTCCACCAAAACATTGTTGGAATGAATAAACAAATTCAGTAAGGTTACAGGACACAAAATTAATATACAAAAATTAGCATCTCTATACATTAACAATGAACTATCTGAAAAAGAAATCAAGAAAACAATCCCATTTACAATCACTATAAAAAAATACTTAGGAATAAACTTAACCAAGGAAGTGAAAGACTGAAAACTATAAAACATTTATGAAAGAAATTAAAAGAAAACACAAATATATAGAAAGAAATCCCATGTTCATGGATTAGAAGAATTAAAATTGTTAAAATGTTCATAATACCCAAGTGATCTACAGATTTAATGCAATCCCTGACAAAATTCCAAAAACATTTTTTACAGAAAGAGAAAAAAACAATCCTAAAATTCCTATGGAACCACAAATGAACCAAATTAACCAAATGAACCAAATAGCCAAAGCAATCATGAGCAAGAAGAAAATAGCTGGAGGCATCACACAACTTTACTTCAAAATATACTACAAAACTATAGTAATCAAGGCACCATGGTACTGGCATAAAAACATATATAATGGAACAAAAAGGAGAACCCAGAAATAAATCCATGTATTTATGGTCAATTGATTTTTCACAAAGGTGCCAAGAACACACAATGGGAAAAGGTCAGTCTCTTCAATAAGTGTTGTTGGGAAAATAGGATATTAACATGCAGAAGAATGATATTAGATCCTTACCTCACACCATATACAAAAATCAACTCAAAATGGATTAAAAAGTTAAATATGATGTGAAATTGCAAAGTTCTAAGAAGACAACACAGGGGGAAAGCTCCATGACATTGGTCTAGGACTGGGCAATGATTTCTTGGCTAGGACTCCTAAAGCACAGGTAACAAAAGCAAAAGTAGACAATGGGATTACATGAAACTAAAAAGCTTCTGCCCAGAGATGGAAACAATCAACAGAGTGAAGAGACAACCTCCAGATAAGGGATTTGCAAACCATATCAGATAAGGGGTTAATATCCAAAATATAGTTATAAGGAACTCAAAGAACTCAATAACAAGAAAACAAATAACTCAATTAAAAAACTTGCAAAGGACCTGAATAGAAATTTCTCAAAAGAAGGCATACAAATGGCCAAAAGGTATATGAAAAGGTGCATCACTAATCAAGAAAATACAAATTAAAACCACAATGAGATATCACCTCACACCCGTTAGAACAACTACTATTAAAAAAGATGAAAGATAATAAGCATTGAGGAGGTTGTGGAAAAAACGGAATCCTTGCATGCTGTTGATGAGAATATAAATTAGCATAGGCATTATAGAAAACAGTATGAAAGTTCCTCAAAAAATTAAAAATAGAACTATCACATGACCCAACAATTCCACTACTGGATATACATCAAAAGGAAATGAAATCAGTATGCTGAAGAGCTATCTGCACTCCCATGTTCATTGCAGCATTATTTACAATAGCCAAGTTATGAAATCAATCTAAGTGTCCATTAATGAATGAATGGATAATGAAATACTATTCAGCCTTAAAAAAGAAGGAAATCTTGTAATTTGCGACAACATGTATAAACCTAGAGGATATAAGTGAAATAAGCCAGGCACACATAGGTAAATAGTACATGATTTTGTTTATATGTGGAATGTAAAACACTTAGATTTATGGAAACAGGAGCAGAATTGTAGTTACCAGGGAATAGGAGGTGGAAGGCCAGGAGTGGAGAGATATTGGTCAAAGGATACAAAATTAGATAGAATAAGCTCACCAGATCTATTGTAC